AAAACATATATATCTTTATTACTTCAAATAAATTTTATAATGTAATGTTTTCTAAATTAATGTAAAATATATATTTTTTAATAAAATTATTATGATAAAAGTAGGCTTATTAAAGAAGATAGAATAAAAACCTTATTTTTTGTTATTATTATTATTCTTACTTTTAAATTTTTTATTTGAGATTTTATATGTAACAGTATATTAACTATAATCCATGTTATTAAATAAAAATTTATTAATAAGTAATTAATAATTAAGTTATTAATTCACTTATTTATTTTTTATTTAAAAACTATGCAGAGTAATAATAATCTATATGTAGTGTAGAAAACGTAATTTATATATTTTTTATTAAATAAATAAAAAAATAATAGATAGTTAAAATGTCAATTGTCAAATTGTTTCAAAATTCTTATTATATAATACTTATATATAACAAGCTCTTCAAATTTTATAATATTTAAAATTCACAAATAGTTTTTTATCTGAAATATTAATAATAATAAATTTTAAACTATTAAAATAAATTTTAACATTCATGAATAATAATTTTATAAAACTTATCTATATTATGCAACAGATGTAGTGATATTTTATTTTAAAACAAGATCAAATAGAGATTAGTGATTTTTATATAAAAATATTTTTCAAATGGTAGGATGGGTTAGATAATAATATAAAAAAATTCTAAAAATAAAAAATCATCCAAAAAATATTTTTCTCTAAATGTGAGATATGTGTTAGATGATATAATAAATATAAAAAATTATCTAACACATAATATAATAATATACTACTATATTATTATATTATGTGTTAGATGATTTTTTATATTTAATTTTTTTTAATAATGTTTAGAGGAAAATATTTTTTTAGTGGATAAATTTGGAGGGAAGATTACCACCAAAAATTTGATGTTGCTAAAATTTTATGCAACATTGAATGAATGTAGCCTTTTATTAGAAGTAGTGTAACAATCTAAAAATGTCCCCAAAAGTATTTAAGGGGACAATTATCAAACATTGTTAAAGAAATAGTATAATGACTCTCCAAAATCGTCCCCAAAAGTAGTTAAAGGCACATTTAACAATCCTTGCCAAAAAAATAAAAGAGTGACGCTCTAAAAACGTCCCCAAAAATATTTTAGGCAACGATTATCAAGGGTTGCAAATATATTTTTGTCAACAACCATAAATTGTTGCCTTTACGAATTTTAGGCAACAATTTTTACATGTTACCTAAAAAAGTGTTGCTAGAGACAACAAATGTTGTAGTGTAGGTGTGTATCATTGACAAGTAGTTATCTAGTTGTGACGAGAGTTTTATATGAACATGTATGGTTTGTGTTGTTTATAGTTAAGGCGGATGTGATACCTTGTGATTGTCGAATACAATCACGCTATCCTTAGTGATTACATAAGCAAATTGAGCCTACGGATAAAGAGACTTGTGATGGGGCACGGTTCATGAGAAGTGACGATTCATAAGGTCGATTATATGTCCTTAGAATTCGAATCCATTCGATGTTATGTTATACTTTATCACGTAGTCGAAAACAATCCCTTGAAAAGTGTCATTCCAAGAGTTGAGACTCATATAGAGAGCTCCTATGGAATGTACGCACTATTACTTTGACAGGTTTGATTCCTGTGTGTTGTACGAATGAAGCCTACGGGTAAAGAGACTTGTGATGGGTACGGCCCATGAGAAGTGACGATTCATGTGGACTATTTTTCCCTTGGATCCGAATCCATTTCATATGTCAAAGTTTACAAGGATCCGTGACCCGTGTCAGTAACTCTAGACTTAGGGTTGGCCAGATAAATATGCCTTGGTATGATTTTCGATTAGTGATTGTTTGAACTGATGAACTCAAGAGACATGTTTCTATACATTGTAAATTGTGTGAACTCAAGTCTTATCTCTTTTCCTTTTGACTTGAGATAGAATTGGTTAGAACCTTGTAGAGCCGAGTGAACCCATAAGATAGGGGAACTCATTGAGATTATTATTTCACTCCATTATTGTTGTTGTTTTTTAGGTATTTGTTTTCACGTTTAGTTTACAAGTGGAGCTATGCTTGGATGTTTCAAGAGAAGTTTAGTTTATGTTATTCTATTGTGTATTGTGTATCTCGCACAATGAAGGATATTATACTTAGATCTTAGTTTTATTGTTTTGACACTTTCCATATCTTGTACTATAGGTTGTCTTTTATGTTTTTTTTTGCAATGGTCAAGTATGCAATTATGCCAATAGGCACTTATGATGGTGTCATTACCAAATATTAACTCTTGTATTATATGATTCTAGACATATATTATATAGGGCATTACATTTTACCAGTATATTTTTTTATAATCATAATTATATTCAATAAGATGGTACTATGGGTACCATCACCCAATAAACATCTTACAATGATAACAACCAAACAACAACAAAGAGTTCAAATCTCCAACACTCTAAACAAAAGACCTAAAGAAAGTCACTTGGACGTTTATACCAATCATAGAAATTGCATCTAATCCTAGGATAAGAGCTTAAGGACAGCCACCACCAAAAATAGCTAATAATCCTATGAAATATTTCCGTTGGGTTCCAAATCCATCATTAAACATGATTTGGTTTCTACTCCACCATATGCTCCAATACGATGCAAACCAGATTAACCCTACAGATGATTTAGATGTCATCCCGATAATTTTCAAAAACCAGTTCATGACAATTACCTTCATCTGGAGATTCGATTCCAATCAAGTCCCCAACCGCCTTTCAAAACAAATGAATGCACGTCCAATGAATGAAGATGTGATCAACATCCTCCTTAAAATTAAAGAAAAACATGAAAACCTTCTCATGCACATTAGTTAAAACACCTCTAGCCTAAAGAATCGATCTCGTAGGTAATCTATCTAAAAATAAACGCCACCCAAACATATTTATTTTCAATGAAATTAAGGTTTTCCATACAATATGCATTGTTGTTTTTATGCTGTCATCCAACATCATTTCTTCAACTGCTTGTAGAAAAATGTGATAGCATGAATTAACACTAAAGCATTTGTTAATACCTATAAGGCACACAAACAAATCTATCCTTTCGACTTGCAAGTGAACTCCGGATGGCAGTTGCAACATGTCATTTAACTCAATCTGCAAATCACCCATGGGCTCAATTGGATCAAAGCCAAAATTCCACTGCCAAGAATCTCCATGCAAGCCCCAATCTATTTAACCGATCCAGTCTACTTAGAAGATGATGCATACAGACTTGGAAATAGGCTGCACATTGATGATTGTCTTAACCACCGAAACGTCCAAAATGGGACATCCCCCAATGATTCCTTCAATCCCATAAGATCCCTCCACCATAAAGAATCAACCATATTCACAATAGAATTACCATCTAATACATTCCTATTCATGAGGTTTCCGTACCTAAATTTTAGAACATCGGACCACAACCACTTCGATATTAATGAAACATTAAATTTCCCCACATTCTTGATCCCCAAACCCCCTTCTTCCTTGGACAAGAAAGTCCTCATTCAACTAACCCACGAAATACAATGTTTACCACACGAGCCAGACCAAAGAAAGTTCCTTTGAGCAATAAAACATCTAATACTTTTGTCGGTGCTTTGTAGAATGATAAATGATGAACCGGTAAGTTTGAAAGGACCAAGTTAATAAGAGTGACCCTTCCACCGATTGACATCAATCTTCCCCTCCCATTAGATAACCAAGCTCAAAAGCTTTCAACAACTGGTTTCCAAAATGATATCCTCCTATGATTTCCACCAATAGTAATCCCAAGAAACTTGAAAGGTGGAACATTAATTTTGTAGGCCAGAAATTAAGCTGTCGCACTCAAGAAATTAACCTCAACTCCCACTCCAAACAAGAAACTTTTCCAAGAATTAATTTTCATTCTAGAAATCAATTCAAATCCCCTTAGGACACCTTTTAATCCCCACAAATTAGACCATGAACAATCACAAAAAATGATCGTATCGTCAGCAAATTGTAAAAGATTAACAAAGTGTTCTTCATTCAATTTAAAACCATTCAAAATGCCCCTGCTAGTTACCCTTCTAATTAATAAAGCTAAACCTTTTGCCACAAGAGAGAATAGGAATGGAGACAAGGGCTCTCCTTGTCTAAGGCCCCTAAAAGTCTTAAAGTCTTTCTTAGTACTTCCGTTTATAAGAACAGACAAGTAAGAATAAAAAACTCCACCTCCTAACCATTTATCCCCGAAAATCATCGCCATTAAGACCCTCTCCAAAAACTCCCAATCCACACAGTCATAAGCCTGTTTGAAATCAACTTTGAAAAGTAAGCAACATCTTTTCTCTCTTCTTGCAAGATCAATGACCTCATTAGCTACAACAACCCCATCTAGAATCTGTCTTTCCGGGATAAAAGTTGTTTGAGAATTAGAAACTAAACTACCAATTGCCCTACTTAGCCTTGCTGCCAAAATTTTGGAATCAATCTTATAAATGCACCCAATTATACTAACATGTATAAATTCCTCCAACCCTTGAGGGTTCTAAACTTTTGGAATAAGGGCAATAAAGGAAGAGTTTATGGCTTTTGAATGGTAAAATTCATGAATACAATCCACCATATAACTTTTCCAATTATATCCCAACAGCGTTTCAAAAACTCAAAGTTGAAACCATCCGGTCCGGGACTTTTGTTCCCATACAATTACTCATTGCATCAAGAATTTCATCAATAAAAAAATGAACCTGAAGCGCTTCGCTTTCCTCCATTGATCCCTATCACCTACCTGCTGGGCCACTATTTTCCACTTTGCAATCAACTCCTTCGACAATAAAATTTTGTCCAATATGCTCTTGCAACTTTTGTTTGCTTTGAACCATGTGAATTTGTTTCCTATTAACGGTAAATCCACCAACTCTATAGTATCAATAAATGTTGAAAAATCCTCCATATCAGCTGCACATGATGAGCCACACCCTATCCTTTCATCCTCCTGCTTGATGGCATTGAAGTCCCCCTACTTCCCATTCCCCTTTTGGAAAATTATTCTTCAACTGAACAAGCTTAGACCAAAGCCTTCTCTTTTCCACATTGTTACATGAGGAGTATACATTGACAATGTAACAATTTGTTCCTTTCCACAAGCCATTCACCCCCAAATACCCTTTTCCTTTGAAACTGAAATTAGAGCAAAATTTGTGCCTCATCCAAATAGTTAGAATGCCTCTAGAACGACCTATAACCTCCACAGAAGACCAACCATAGTCATATTTACCCCAAATGATTTTCACCAACGAATCAGTCATGTTTTGGATTTTTGACTCTTGGATGAAATAAACATCAACATTACCACCTAGAATCAATTGACATACCATTTGCCTCTTAATTGAGGTTCCACAACCCTTAATGTTGTATGTGATCAGATTCATGGAATCCTGATTTCTGCCTCCCTCTTTTCCTCAAACAATTTCTTGTCTCGAACCTCCATATCTCTGATTATGCTTTCAAACAATTTGTCGTCTTCTTTGCCTTCTATACCCATATTATTTATGATCTGCCACACCTTTGATGGAACATCCTTGATAGATTTTTTAATACAATTATTCCCTTGATTAATGTCTATCGATAATGGACTCGCAGCAGAGAACTGACCCTCCAGAATACCTTGTGTTTGAATCTTCAACCAACATAGGAGAATGGATTGGAACATATGTGTTTCTAAAATCTGCAGGATTACGACCCAAATGAATTTCAGAATGGATGAGAGTGGAAAAATAAGAAGAGGAGAAAGGGATTATTATTTTATCATAAATATCATTAATAAGTTTTTTCATTCTAGGATTTATCCCAAGAAAAGGCCCAATAGGCCCATGAGGGGAGCAAGAAATTGGATCAGAAGAGACCAAGTCAAGGCCCACCAACGACAAATGTTCATGATTTTCACACAGGGACTTGTTTCTGCCAACCGTCTTCCTACTATTCAGCCTAGACCCACTAGCATGTTCCATCAAGTCTTCTTTCCTTACAATATCATTAAATGAAGCATTTAATGATTCAGAGTTAATAGGTAGTGTGGTAGGCTGACTGACACGATCACCCAAGACAAAATTCCCCTTTTTTCCAGCTAAGTTAACTCCCAGGATACCAGGAGCACAACTTTCGACACGCAACCCTGAAAATCCAGCGCTTTTGTCTTAAACACCTTTTTCATCATTACTTTTTGCCTTAGATCGATCGCTTTCACGTAAATCTTCATGGCCACCTTGGGCATCACCATCCCTAGCTTAACCACCATCCTCGTTATCATAACTATCGTTGGAGCTTTCATCATCACTGTCACCCATATCCGAATTCGGTCACTCCTCATCACCCCCCCACTTTCCTTTTCTTGTTTATCATGATTCTTTTAGGGCCATGGAAATCCTCCACCACTTTGATACTTTATATTCTACCATTTATGTCCATGTTGAAATTTAAATTTAAACTCATGGTATAGTTGGTTTTTATTAGGAACCTTGTTATGTCTAGGTTAACATGTTTCTCTGTCTCCTCATCACAACTTACATACTCCCCAACACAGGATAAAATAAACTTAAAGAATTGTGGACACCAAGCATGGAATGGTAATCCAAAACACTTTAGCCACGTTAGTCTTTCGCTATCCATATCCTTCGGTGATAATGAATGAATATCGTCAAACCATTGTGACACCCAAGCTTCTTCTTCCTTCACCAGTGCAGCCACCTCACCATTCACCGTTTCCTTAATTATTTTTTACATTATATAATTAAGTTTTCAAAAAATTTATTTTTCCAATTAATCAAAAATTATTATTTATATAAATTTTAATTTAGATGTGTTAAAAATGTTTCTTTTCCTTTCTGCCCAAGAATTTTAAATTCGTTCTCTCACCTATTTATGATTTGTGATGTAGTGGTTTTCGTTTCGTATAAGATTTTTACTTGGTTGGGGTGTGGTATGTAGCTTTATGTAGGGATCTTTTGACCCTTTTCCATATGTTTTCCATTCTTGGTAGTTCTTCTAGGTTTAGGGAGTGGATTATGATTTGGCATGCATTGGTTTTATCAATTTGGAAATCTCATAATTATATAGTGTTCTCAAGTAAATTTTCACCAAAGGACGTGGTAGATTTGAGCATTCTTTTGGATTGGAAATAATATCTTGATAGGTCTGTGGAGAACTCTTGTGTTTTCTCACCATGACTCAAGAACCTTATCAAACATCTAAGCCAATAGCAGCTTGAGTGTTTTCATCATCCTTCTAGTGTGTACTTGCTGCTTAGTAGAGATCATTGCCTTTTTTTTTTTAGATTTTTGGATGGGGAGGTCTAGTTTGTTCTTCCATCTAATGCTCTTGGTATTTGCATTGGTGGTTTATTTTTTCCTCTGTACTGATGTTTTGATCATGTAGTATTGGTGTTGTTTTATTCGCTTGTTTTTTTTATTGGTGGTGGTTAGTTGTTTGGTACCTCTTATGCTGCTGACTAACTTTTATTTTGTACTTTGACATTTGATGACTCTTTATTAATTTATATATTTGTTTTCTTTTTAAAAACATAGTTGATTCATGTTTGTGGATGATTAAATTTATTTTTTAGATTTGTGTTAAAATTGAATTTTAAAAAAATGTTATAATAAATTGTTATTATTGATTGACCATGTAAAAATATTAATATTTTTATGGAAATTGGTTTAGGGATCAACACATAACGGTGTATGCAAGGATAACAAAACTTTTAGTATATAACTTCAAAATTTAAAGAGAATCACTACTATCAATAATATATTTTATAACAAAATTTTCACCTTAGATAATTAAAAACCAACGTCAAATGCCATGTAACGTGCCATTTTTTTAAAGATAATTAAATTTATATTTCAGTTTTTTAGAAAATTGATAGAAAATGTAGCTCAGAGTTTAAGTTTCGCTTTCCAGCTCCTGCAATTTTGTGCTATAGTTAGAATCAAATTGGTGCCCTTATTTTATAAATGATCTTTTTCCTCGGTTTTTTTTAGAAAACCGACATGGAATGTTACTTAATATTTTATTTAATTAAATTGAAGCCAGCTTTTACCTCAGTTGTTTTCCCTCGTTTTTTTTCTACTAATTGAGATATAAACTCCAAACAATATTTTATTCCAACGCCAGAATATTAAGTTTCATTCACTTTGTAGTATTTCTCATAAACGTTTTGCGCCCTAGCGAACGAACGAATATCATTCTTCATCTTCTCCATCTAACAAACGAAACACCATTCTTTATCTTCCCCACCTACTGAACTGAAACATGATTCTTCATCTTCTCCAAGTCAAACTAAGTAAACAAATAAGGAAGGAATTTCGAATAACGAAAATTGAATCTCAAACCAACACATTTCTTTGACTCTCTCATCGCATTTTTGTTATGTAAAACTTTCTCCATGAGTGTACCAGTAATGTTGTTGTTGTTTTTGTTGTTATAGTTTTTGAGGCTTAGAGTATAATGTTTTGTTGTTTTTCAGATATTTGTAATTGTTGTTGTTTAGTGTTATTGGTGTTTTATTGAGATGGAATGTTCATTGTTGTTGGTTGTATATGATTTTTATTTTATATTTAGAAGTTTTATGTGATTATGAATCGTAGTTAGATGAAAGTCATTAGATTAAGTAAAGAGTATGGGAATGAAGTGATTCGATTTCTTGAGTTCAAGAAGAAAAAAAACATTTCAAACAATAATGGGATTTTTTATTGTGCTTGTAAAAATGCTAAAATACGCAAAAACATCCAACGGAAGATATATTCAATCATTTAAGTTGTGATGGAATTATTTAAAATAACCTGAAATGGGTATGACATGGTGAAGTGAAAAAAAGGACATGTGTCACATATAGTTAAAGTTTATGAATATATGAATGATACTTTAGAAGATATGATACTTGATATTGGAGTAGATTCTTTTAAGAAAGCTCATGTGGATGATACTTTACAAAGTGACATGGAATAGTCGTTATTTTCGGGATGCAAAAATTTTACAAGATTGTAAGTTGTGTTAGTACTATTTAATATTAAGGCAAAATGTGTGTGGATGGATAGAAGTTTCATTGAAATGCTTGAATTGTTGCAAGAAATGTTTCCAAAAGGTAGTGCGTTTCTGAATCGTAATTATAAGGCCAAGAAGATATTGTGTCCAATGTGTTAGAACTATGTCAAAATACATGCATGTCGTAATGATTGTACAATATACATAAAAGAGTGTGAAAACTTGAAGGAGTGTCGAGGCGTGGAGAGTCATACTACAAGCTGAAGGATAATGATTCTGAAGATGATGAAGGTGTAACCAAAAAGGGTTTTCCTATCATGGTGATGTGGTACCCACCGATAATTTAAAGGTTCAAGAGATTTTTTGCTAATGTAAATGACACAAAGAATAATAGATGGCATACAAATTAAAGAGTATTTGATGGAAAAAATTTTCATGTAGTCGATTCATCACAATGGAAGAAAATTAATTTGTTGTTTTTAGATTTTTGGTCAAGGGACCTTAGGCTTGAACTTGCCACCGAAAGAATGAACTCGTTTGGTAATATGAGTATTAACCATACTTTATGACATGTTCTTATCATAATTTACAACCTATTTTCACGGTTGTGCATTAAACACAAATATATGATGTTATCAGTGATGATTTCGGTCCAAAACAACTAGGGAACAACATATATGTTTATTTGACTTCGTTGGTTGAATATTTAAGAGTTTTTTTGGTAGGAAGGCATTGATGTTAATGATGCGATAACTTTAAGATGTGTATCATGTTATTTGACACAATCAATGACTTTCATACATACGATAATTTATCTGAGTACAACGTCAAAGGACATAAAGTGTGTCCTATATGTGAAGATGATACATGCTCTCACTAACTAGAAAATGAAAAAGATATTGTTTACCTTGCGCATCGAAAATTTCCAAGACCTAATCATTCATATCATAGATTGTAGAAGCCTTTTAATAGAGAGAAGGAGTTTGATATCGCTCTAAAGCCATTAACCGAGAATAAAGTTTATAAATACAAAATTCATTAATGTTGTCTTTGGAAAGAAACAAAAATGTCCCGTAGAGAAACATATTTGGAAAAAGTGGTCGATGTTCTTTGATCTTCCATATTAGTCTAGCCTCGTTGTAAGAAATTATCTTGATGTGATGTATGTGGAGAAAAATGCATGTGATATTTTGATTAGAACACTTATCAACATTAACGAACGAACAAAAGATAGTAAAAGTCCAGTCTAGATATGGTGGTGATGGGTATATGACAAGAGTTAGCCCTAAAAGAAATAGGAAATATAACATATTTGTCCCCAACATGTTACACTCTATCTAAAAAAGAAAATGTTTTTGCCAATGTTTGTAGCGTATCAAAGTTCCCCAAA